CAACTTCAGACTCAAGTTCACATCAACTTCAGACTCAAGTTCACATTCAAGTTCAGATTCAAGTTCACATTCAAGTTCAGATTCAAGTTCACATTCAACTTCATATTCAAGTTCACATTCAACTTCAGACTCAAGTCACATTCAACTTCAGACTCAAGTTCACATTCAACTTCAGACTCAAGTTCACATTCAAGTTCAGATTCAAGTTCACATTCAAGTTCAGATTCAAGTTCACATTCAACTTCATATTCAAGTTCACATTCAACTTCAGACTCAAGTCACATTCAACTTCAGACTCAAGTTCACATTCAACTTCAGACTCAAGTCACATTCAACTTCAGACTCAAGTTCACATTCAACTTCAGACTCAAGTTCACATTCAAGTTCAGATTCAAGTTCACATTCAAGTTCAGATTCAAGTTCACATTCAACTTCATATTCAAGTTCACATCCGGACCGGAAACGCACACTCCGCTGCTGCAAACACCACCACCATCAAAATCATCATCAACAGCAGCAGCAGCAGCTGCTGCAGCAGCAGCTGCTGCTGCTGGGGGTCTGTCTCACGAGCAAGTTGACGATGAAGGGGTGGCTGAGCTGCGCGAGAATGCGCCTTTCGTCCTTCACGTGCTCGACCTGCTTCATGGCGATCACCTTTTGTTTGCTGAGGATCTTCAGCGCCATCGGCGGAAACCAACTTTCTGCGTCGCGGACATCCACCACGCAGACTCTGCCGAAGGAGCCGGTGCCCACAGTGCCGAAGAAGCAGAAGTCTTCGATGCGCAGTTCGCGCTGCTGCAGCTGCTGCTTCACCAGCTGCAGCACGTCGTCCGCGCCGCCCTCCTCCTCCTCCGCTGCTGCTGCTGCTGCTGCTGCTTCCTGCGCGGCTGCTTCGTCCGTCACCGACGGCCGCGTGCTCCCGGACACCAGGCTGTCGATCCGGCAGCTGTTCATCAGCTGCATGGAACTCAGCTTGCCCCACACCCGCCCCAAAGAGCCCTTGATGCGCTGGCTGCTGCTGCTGCTGCTGCTGCTGCTGCTGCTCGGGCCCAGCGAGCACTGGCTGCTGCTGCTGTACGGTGCCGCGTACGCGCTCCCCGCCTGCATCGCCGACGAAGACGGACCCGCCGCAGCCGCCGCTGCTGCTGCTGCTGCTGCTGCCGGAGAGGCAGGCCCCGAAACCCATCCTAAGTTCATCAGAACCCGCTTCGTCGGCAGCAGCAAACAGCTGCTGCGCTCCACTCCCCCAGGGGAAGCCCCCTGCTGCAGCCGCTCTCCAGACGGCTGCGACAAAAACGACAGCAAGCTGCTGCGGAAGAGAGATCTGCGCTGCGATGACTTGTGAGAGTACTGGCCCGCCGCCACCGACATGCTGCTGCTGCTGCTGCTGCCGCTGCTGCTGCTGCTGCCGCTGCTGCTGCTGCTGCCGCTGCTGCTGCTGCTGCCGCTGCTGCTGTACCTGCTGCTGCTGCTGCTTCGGGCACACGCCAAAAATATTCAAGTTTGTACAAGACGCTCGTTAAAATAAAAATATATTTGAAACCGCCGACAAGGGCCTTCAAGCCCCTGCTGCTGCTGCTGCTGCTGCTCTCCGCTGCCGACAAAAAGAAAAAAGAAATTCGGCGCAACAAAAGTGTTTCAGCAAATCTGCGGAGGAGAGCCTCGCGGCCCTGGGGTGTACGTACACCTCAGCTGTACGTACACTGCGCTGCAGCCCGGAGGCCGCCAACTGGCGGAAAAAGCCAACAAAGGTAAGTAAATAAATAAATAAATAAATGAAAGTGTTGCTCAAATAGCCGTCGGTTCGCTGCTGCTCGAGAGGCGGCGAGAGTGCGCGGCGTGCCTATTCTGCTGCCGCGCTGAACTGCAGCAGCAGCAGCTGCTGCTGCCTCTCTGCTGCTGCCGCTGCTCCTGCGCAGCTGCTGCTGTTCCAGTAAAGCTGCAGCTGCTGCTGTCCCGCTGCGGCAACGCTGCTGCAACCCTGCTCCAACGTTGCTGCTGCACTGCTGCACTGCTGCGGCAATGTTGCTGCTGCGGCAATGCTGCGGCAATGTTGCTGCTGCTGCTGCTGAGCGACGCCGCTGCGGCTGTCTCCCACTGGGCCCGCGAGGCCTGGCCAGGAAGAAGGCCTGGGTTTCGGGTGTCTATACAACTAAAAAGTGGAAGCAAGAAGAGGCGAAGAGACACCGGGGCGGCCAAATGCGCGGCTCCGTGGTGGCTGGCCAGGCGCAGCAGCAGCAGCGGCAGCAGCAGCGGCTGCTGCGGGCCCGGAAGAGGGAGAGGCGAAGAGGGCGGAGAAGTTGCAGTGTCTGTACACCGTAAAAAACGCCCGCGGCGGGCGGTACTGTACAAAGTGGAAAGCCAGAGAGCAGCAGGAGCTGCAGCAGTTTGCTGCTGCTGCTGGAGTTGAAAACAAATAAAGAAAGAAGTGGGAGTTGGTGAGGAGCCAATAGGAGCCACTATGCTGCCAAGCTGTCCATACACTGCAGCGCGGCGCGGCAGAGGCGCAGGGGGCGTCGCCACATGGCTCGGGAGGCTGCTGCTGCTGCTGCAGCTGCTGCAGCGCCACTGCGAGCTGCTGCGGCGGCCGCAAAGAGAAGTCAGAGAAGGCTGCTGCTGCAGCGGGAGC